GTGGTTCTGCTTTTAATATCTCAGAGTCAGCGGCGGGGATCCAATTATTTCCAGTTTGGATACCTCGCCTCTTTACCAACATCTCCATGTGCATAAATGAGACGAAAGCGGCGTTCCCAAATCAAAAAGAGCCGGAACCCGTGTCACTGGGCAGACTCGCTCCGTCTGGAAGTGTGCAGCCAGCCTCTCCCATGCAGATTTCTGACGTCTGGCCCCAAATCTTCCTCCCAAAGGGACGTCTTTTTATAGGTTAAAGACAAGAGGGAGTTCGGGTGCGCAGGCGAACTTACAAATAATGACAAAAAGAAAAAGGATGCTCAAAGAGAAAAAAACACGTCTACTGAATCAGCCAACCAGGTTCCCTTCCGAGTGGAATCAAAGAGGTGATGGGCATTTCAGTTGGGCTGAGAGCTTCTCCCAACGGCTCTTTCATGGAATTGAGAGCACCATTCTCCACTTCCACGTTCCTTGGATTTCCTAGACCAAATCGCCAGGCTCCTGGACCACCATGTAAATAGGCTACCTGCACTGAAATGCAAATAGCAACTGGTCCCCACAGACCCTCATGGGCCAGATGTCTCGACACTGAGACACAAAGATGGGAGATGAAGGAAGAAAAGCCGCAGAGCCGAGCAAAATTTGGCATCTGCCAAGAGGAATGTGGCACCAGAGGGCTCTGTGCGGTTCTAGTAGGAAATGATTTTCACTGCAGTCAATCCAAAAAGCTTCCAGGTGAACTGAGAATGGGAATAAAGAAGAACAACCAGCCACAGTGATGCAGAGAAGCCCCCAAAACACCACCCCATGGCCAAGGGTGGGAGGATGTCCAGAGGGGTTTGTTGAGATGGCTTTGCTGCCTGCTGGAAACTGCATTCACCAACGCTCGAGGAATGCCGAGACACCGAGGTAGCAAGAGCACCCAACCTGTGTATTCCAAACTGATCAGTTCTCTCTCTCATTCACTCAAATATGCACTTGACTGTTTTAATATCTTTACCTCTGAGCTGATTATTTCTTCATTTGAAAGGGTCACCAAGGAGCTCAGTGACTTCCCCTATGGTTACAACGCGTGTCCTGACACGGGAACCAGAGCCCTGCCTAGTTGCTCCAGGCCCCGTGTCCAATTCTACACAACACCATACCATGTTTGTAGTTTGCAATCTACAAACTCACGTGCTACGTGTCATGAGGTCCTCATCCTACAGACAGCAAACTGCCTCTCCTTAAGCCCCTAAAAATCTAGTTAATTCCGTCCACTGTCACTACCTCTAGCCTCCTTCAGCATCCCCATTTAAAATCAATATTTTAAGTGTGTGCTTAAATGGTATCAATAGCAATTAGAGAGGGGAATTCTGATTCCACCCCAGATGTAGTTAATTGTTACAGCATCGATCTCCTCCACCGCACTCCTTTCTCGAAATTAAACCTCCATTACAGAGCGGAGATGAAGGGCACCCTCTCCCCTCCTGCGACAATAAATTTAATATTGAATGCACCGGAAAAAAATGGCAGTTGTTGCAGAATCCATCCAAAAAGATTTTTTTTTCCTTCCTGGGAGTAATTAAAAGATGCTTTTCTTGACTAATGATTCCCCCGTTTAGGAATGGGAAGTCAATACCACTTCGCCGCCGTCAGCTTCGATTGATCACGACACTGTTCAAGTTTGAACGGCAGTTCTCAAGGTGGCTGAGAATCACGGGAACCAACTGTGAGCCGTGCAAAGCTGCCCTCAACAGGGCTGCAGGGAGAAGAAGCAGAAGCCACCCAGCTGGTCAAAGGGCCTGTTTTCCTAACTCACTGGCAGGTCTGGGTCACACCAGTGCAAGGTGGTATTGGGGGGACTGGTTGTTTGTTTGGCGAAGGATCTGCTGTGTTCTTCGTGGTCCTGAATCTGTGTGTGTGTGTTTTTGGGGGGCGGAACGGCACATCTCTAATGATATTTCACTGTCAGAACGAATCTTCCGAACAAGATGGAACGGACTGCAGCTTCTCGGGAAAACAGCTGGGCCCTTTTTCAAAGGATTAGACTGGATATACGCACTTGGTTTTTCCTTGGATGGAGACAAAACTTTATTCAAATATTTCTTTTCAGTATTACCTTAGGGCCACATTAAAAGAACCCTCCAGCTGTTTGTACTAAGAATCCTAGGTTCTGCAGATAGACCAAAGGCGGGCGAGTGCGAGGGAGTCTTTCCTTGTCATGGAGAGGCAAGATCCAGACTAGATATCCAGTCTCACGTGGCAGATTGCATTCCACATGGAAATTCTAGCCCACACTTCGAGTTTTTCATCCCTATTTGAGGAAACTGCAGGAGGTAGTGAAGGAGACGAGTGTTTGAATTATTATTATACTATGTGCTGAGTTGTTCTTTATTTTTGACAGCGTATCTAAGGCTATGCAGATGTTCCCCCAGGACCACAGCCCTCCAAAAATGGCCTCCTCGCCTCATCTCCTTCCCTTCCAATGATGCCGCTAGCTGCCTTTAGTCCTCTTGGGAACAGGTGGAACATACACGAACACCTCAACAGACCCAACAACTCACCCTCTGCCCACCCCAACCTTGCTGTTATAACACCACCCCTGGCTCAAAGGCTCTGCCAGGCCTTTTCTCTCTTTTGGCCTTGGCCACTCCTCTCCTCCTTTTACCCGAGGGTCTAGCCCCACGAGTGACGACTCAATGTTTTCCACACTTCCCCACGGGCCCTGAGGCTTCCACATTGCTGTTTTTGCCCTGGCCCCTCCCATCCTCCAGCACATGCGCTCCCACTCCCCTAGGCCTGGAAATCGCTCCGTATTTTAATCAAGTCCAGCTCAGATGCCATTTCTCCATTGAAACTTCCCTGAAGCCCCGCGGCCATAAGAATCCCTCCATTCTCTGAGAATCCTACTGAGTCCCGGCATCCTCAGCTGGCCCTGAGAACATCTGCCAATCACTGTAGAGTTATAGTCACCATTTATCGTTTCTTTTCTATGAGGAAGCGCCCGATGAATATTTGCTGAATTTAATTAAAAACAAAACTCCCTGGGAGAACTGCTAAAGGCACAAAGAAACAGTCAATCTTCAAACGTGTTTTACCTCCTAGAGGTGAACAGAATTCAGAAATTCCAAAGGTACCTTTGGAAACACCACATAACCACATGAGCATCACCATAGCCTTGCAGAGGAATTACACCTTAGCATAGCTCCTTAGGAAAGTAAGTGAATGTGGCTAAAAACCAGGTGGGATTTCACTGAGTCACTCCACTTGTGAGAAAGGAAGACTCTGAAACGTCTCTAAAATATACAGATGTGATGTGCATAATACTAGATAGAAGAGAACATCACACACTCCAGAGCTTAATTTAAATATATGATTTGGAACTATAAGACACCTGTACACACAGTCTTCACTTAGGAAGGAAGATGAAATTAATATAAAATATTTACCAGTTAAAAAATTAACCCATATCTTTGCTCCTAATTATTCTAAATGGTTTCAATTTATGATATATGGAAAACTAGGAAGTTTCCTAATTCATGATACTAAAAATAGTATATATGCTTTTATCCATACACAGTAAAATGCATAAAGTTAATTTTTTTCCACCTTATTTCAATTATTGTTTTCTGCATTCATACATTAAACTCAATCCAAGTTCTAGTCATTTTTCATTTTCAGACCTAAATATCCTTCAAGGAAACTATAACTATGAAAAAATAGATATTAAAACAAGAATTCATCTTTTAAGAACGCTCCTATTGACAACCCAGCTGATTTCTGCATTAGTGTTCAACCAGTCAAGATAAACCATTTTAAAAAGTGTATCATTTCTTCAGTTTGTAAGAAGTTGCCCACATACACATCACATGGTATATAACTCATGTACAAAGAGCTCACACAGCAAAACTATGTAATTTTAAACAAATAGACTCTGGGGGCCTTTCTTGCTCCCTCCCCTCCCCTCAGAACACCTAACATGATGAGCAGGATTAATAACACACCAGCTTCATTCTCTACAGTGAACCAAAGGTGGCACCACAAATTCATTTTTCACTGTTAAAGTCCACAGACTCTTTGCTTAGTGGCAGAAACCAATTTCTTACCCCTCACCTGTGGCCCAACCACAGACTGCCACATGGACTTTCGTGTGGTCTGATCACCAGCAAAACAAATTAGAGAGATTTAAAAAGTGCTAACGATGAGAGACATCTTCTCTCCCCTCATCTCTTCACACACCTGAGAAGTGAATACTAAAAGCAACCCCACACCCCTACTTCAGATGTGGAGACACAACCCCAGAAGCTTCTTCCTTAAGACGACGCAAGGATGGAATGGTCCATTCTGCTTCTATGAAACAGGCTTTCTCAGAAGACATGCCATTTTATCACCTCTTACGTACATTAAATATGTATGTGTACTCAAAAATGGTTTATAATAGCTGTAAATGAAAAATGAGAAACTAAATGGCCTCAAAATAAATGCGTTTTTTCCACTGAATAACAATTAACATTAATGAGGAGGCACCATACGTTATGCCATACTTGGTCAATTAACTGTGTTAGGAATATATTCCAAAAATAAAATATATTTTGTTACCATAAACTCACTTCTTGTGGGTATGGGGGGAGGAGAACCAATTGAATAGATGCTTATCAAAGATATAAGAATAACAAAATTGAAGAATCAAAAATTCATAATTAGTGCTAACAGCATAGCTCATGCCGATTAGAAATGTATTAATTAAAGTGATATATTCATAAGGTTAGAAGCTTAATACATTTCTAAGAGGGGGAGAGGAATCCCCAAGGTATAAAAACAAACATAAAAAATTAAGGAGTTTGAATTATCCATGTCTGCTGAAGAAAGCAATTTTAAATATAGACATTTCTTTGCTGGGTTAATCAGCAATTCCACAGGTTGCCAGGGCAATTCCTAATTGTGGCTGTCATCCAGATCATTTCCAGTTGTCTAACTGCTGGCAAGATGCCCCATAGCCACACACCTTCCCAAGTCCCTACCTCGTGGAGTCCAGTGAGGGCTTTGTCCGCCCCTGGCTGCTCTCTTCCCAGACGCTGTTGGCCAGCTCATTCCCGATGGACGACATCACCTTGATGAGCTCAATGGGCCAGTCGTCCAGGTCCAGGGATCGGACTCGAGAAAGGTGGGTGCCAAGATTCCGGTGGATCCCTGAGCACTCGATGCACATGAGGGCTCCCAAATTCAAACTGGCCCAGTTGGGATCTGTGGGAAGAGGAACAGGGCACCACATGCAATCAGACCATCATCACTCATCCCACTGCCCTTAGGATCTGAGGAACAAAACGGCTAGTCAGTCTGACTTCACATCCAGTGTCCCTCCCTAGAATCACATGGCTTGAAAACTCCCAGGCCAGTACTCAGGATGGTTTTAGGTGTCTCAACAGATTTGACACGTTGGTGGCAACTTTTAAGAATCTGGCTTTAGCCAAAGCCTTGGAATTTCCCACACGATAAATAATTGCAAGTTGGCTTGGGCAGAAAGATGCACTTTACCACACTTCAACAGCAGCATTCTCCTTGAGAGGGGAGATGCACATGGAAAAAAAATCATGTGTGACTTGGTGTCCACTGTGGACGACTGCCGATAGGGGGAAAGGGAAGGGTGCTTTGAGAAGGGCATTCTCAAAGCCATACTGTCCCTCGTAACCACCTTTGCAACCATGGGCGCATCTAAGCTTTCATTAGTCACATGATGGGCATGTCTGCAAATTTCAAAGATGAAAGAGAAGCACACTACGATGAAAAAATATGGTTTTCAGTGATCTTATTTAAGGGTAACCACTGAAGCAACGCCCAGTTCTCCCTTCTTCACTGCTGGCAAGATGGTGGGCAGGGTCCTTTGGTTAGGTTATTACCCAGCTCCATCAACCCTGACTTGCAGAATGAATGGCAACATGCTTTAGGCTGTGACACTGCACCAAGGACAATGCGTGAGTTCAAAGTATAGCATTGGGACCCCTGAGCTGGATCACTCCCTCTGTAAAACTGGCTGACATCATCAGAAGACTGAGAACTCAGGCCCAGGGTTGGCTTCACGCTAGAATCTACAGCTGATTTGTGAAGACGGGGCTGACCTTGACAGTCAATGGCTTTAACCACCGACAGAAGCAAATAAGGCTTCAATCATCCAGGAATAATCAATATTTCCTCCAGGTACACTTCAAGAGTCAACAAAATAACAGGTAGCTGACATCATATTTATTCTGAATCATTCTATAAATAGCAAATGACTAGGAATGACCATATGCTAATTCATCGGAAATCAGCCAGTCATTTATTTAATATCTAATACACACTCAGGAAGGTGGTGCTAGATATCATGGGTGACACGCGAGAAGAGAGGTCTGTGACCTCAGAGATGTTCTGGTTGGGAAGAGAAATATGCCCCAAATAATAATAATAATAAAAACAGAACAAGGAAATGCAGATAAAATGCTGAAGACTACAGTCAAAACAATAAACACACAGGCACCACGGGAAGGAGGAGGGCACCGATGGTGGGTACAGGAAGGAAGGCTACATGGAGGAGGGTTGGCCTGGGCCTGGCAGGGTGTTTAGGGAAGAGGGTGTTTGTGAAAACTCAACACCCCCTCCACCTCTGGCTCTCACCTGTGTCTCCACTCCCCTCCACAGCCCAACTTCTACACTGGCCACCTCTGCTTCTGCGCCTCCCAATTGTTGGTAACCTGGCCTCCATTCCCACCTCTCCCCTGGAACAGGGCAGCCAGAGTCACCAGCCACCACCATGGGCAAAATCCCAAGGACCTTGTTTGGCCATCATTTTACTTGACTTCTTGATACTCCTCCTTACAACACTACCTTCTGATGCTCTTTTGGTCAAGATCCTCCCCAGATTTTTTTCCCATTTATCTGGTTGCTGCATCTTGATTTCCATCCCAACTTTTCCTCCTGAATCTGCCCCTTACCTTAGGGAGTCCTGCAGGCATCTCTTCTGATTCTATATTCTCTTCTAGGCAAACTCAACCCAACCCACAGCTTCCATTACCACCCAAATGCTAACAACCATCCACAGATACCTCCCACCTGGTCCTCTCTCCTGAGCTGCACATGCAGTTACCACTGTACCTCCCTGTCCACATTTCATCCTGTAAATGTAGTCTTCTGCAAGGGACCTTCCCATGGCAGCATATGGCACCAGCATTCACTCAGTTATTCAAGCCAGGATCCTGGGAACCAATTTGATCTTTGTCCTTCATCCCCTAGCCAATCACCAAGTCCTCAATCTCTCAAATCCAACCCCTTCTTCTTGTCCACACTGTGCCCACTCTGGTCCATGCCACTGTCACAATGGGGATGCATCAGCCTCCTGCCTGCCACCTCACCTTCTACTTCCCTGCAGGCCACTCTCCACACATCAGCCAGTGGTCTATAAGGCGAATCCAATTGTGTCACGCTCCTACTCAAAACCCATCCATGGCTGCCATTTGCCATTCAGATCAAGTCCAAAATCCCTACCAATAAGATCAGAACCTGGTCCCCATTCGCACCTCTGTCTCTCAGGAGCACTTCAATTCCCTGACCCCCTGTGCATGATGTCCCGTTGCCTGGTCAATTTCTCCTCATCCTGCTGGTCTCATTGAAAATTTTCCTTCCCAGGGACGACCCCATCCCCCAAGTGTAGGAAGACACCCTGCTAGGTGACCTCATGGCAGCCTGTGCCCTGCCTCCTGGAGAACTTCACACACATGATGCCTCATTTCATGACCACCTTACCTGCGGAACAGCAGGGGTCATATGGCACGAAGATCTTTTCAATCACATCTTCACTCCACTCATGTACCCACACCAACTGTTTTTTTTTTTTGGCTGAGGAAGATTCGCCCCGAGCTAACATTTGTTGCCAATCTTCCTTTTTTTTTTTTTGTTATATGAACCACCGTCACAGCATGGCCACTGACAAACGAGTGGTATAGGTCCGCACCTGGGAACCCAGGCTATTGAAGTGGAGTGTGCTGAACTTAACCACTAGGACACTGGGACTGGCCCATCCCACACCAACTTTTTATTCAACCCCGCCTCCACGTGCAGTTTTCGGGTGAATGGAAGAACGGCTTGACTAAAGCAGAGGAGCTGGCAGGAAGTGAGGGTGGGGCAGATGTACCAGGAAGCCGTGAGGTTCCTGAGCAGAGGAAGAGCTGGTGTGGGTGGGAGCAGATAGGAGAAGAAGAAAAGAGAAGAGAGAGGCTCGTGGGGGCAGCACCAGGCATTGCAATGGAATTAGTCAACGCCACGTGCCAATCTGCACCAGGACAGTTGGTCAATCTGCTGGGAATGCTCAGACCCACACCAGGGGACCTGATCTTCAATTCAAACTACAGACCCAAAGAGGGGTGTAAGCTCTGTAGCTTTGTGCTGGCATACAAGGTGTGGATAGGTCCCACATATCACACAAGAATTCCCAAGAGGTTCCAGCAAGTACAGTACCAGAGGGCACCGGGCCTGTTGTATTTTCAGCTAAGTTCAATGCTGAACTCATCTTTCCCCCATCCCCCTTCTTTAGGTCCCCCTACCCCGCCACTTCTCCTTTTCCTTTATGTCCCCACCTCCCATCACCAAGCGCTGTGGTTAATACTTTCACACGTTGTCCTCACTGTTACGACGTACACATGGGTCCCTACTCTTGCTCACCTGAACTGCTGCAAGAACCTCTTATTAGGTTCTGATGCCCATCCCACCACCCCAGCCATTCTCCATGAGTTATGTGTGGACACGGAACCCAATGACCCCAGCCCCTTGTTTAGGACTCAGTGCACTGCCACCCCCGCCCACCTCCCCTAGAAGCTTCAGCAGCTCCAAGACTCTGCCCAGGTGCCAGATCTGAAGGATGACATTCATGTGCAGGACACATTCCAATGACAGTAATGCAGATTTTTGTGAAAACCAGTGTTCTGGGATGCACCAGGTGTGCAGACAGGAGGCTCCTGGCGGTCTGGAGCATTCTCAGCAAGAACCATGGGTAGGTGGGGGGTGTCTCCACAGCTCCAAATCCCATATCTCACGAAAATCCCCAAGCCTCACCGCCCCAGGAGGCAACACAGCTGAACTGGTGGGACAGTGCTCATGAGCCAGCAGGAATAGCCCAGAGAAGTAGATGTGGCATCTGGAGACCATGGTTTCTCCTGCACCACCACTGGCCAGTGAAGCTATATCTACGGTCTGGCAGGCCTGCCCTCTAGGCTGCTCCCTGGCTCAGGCCTGCCCCTCCTGCCAGACCCTCCCAGGTGCATGAGGCATGACCTTTCAGCCGTGATGCTCAAGAAGGTTGCAGAGGTGTCCCACACACTCCTTGGGAAGAAACTGCAGAGAGTGCAGCTCGGGGGATGGGTGTGGGGGACGGGGAGACACAGGCAGGGCCAGATCCCAGGACCACAGGCTGGGAGGAGAAATCGGCCTCTCCTGGGCCAAGCGGAAAGCTGCAACCTCTTCTTGACAGCTTTCTTTTCTTTCTCTCAACACCCAGAAACAAGAGCCTTTCCTTAAATTTAATGTTTGACCTCTCTGTGTTCCTGCACACACCAAAATACAGACCACCCACTACCCCATTTCCTAAGACATATGTGCTCACCATAGAAAAATCAGACAACCCGAATCACCAAAGACCCCACCATTTAGACACCTGGGGTTAACACTCTGGAATACACCCGCAGATCTTTCCCCCTAAATACCTGAAAAGATTCAGCGGGTTCTCCTTGACTTACTGCCCTAAATACTTTCATTTCACAATGCATCATAAAGTTTCTCCAACTCAATATATTTTTGACATCATTTTTTAAGGCTGCATATTATTTCACTATGAGAAGACACCACTCCATGAACAGTTCTTCAAGATTGGCACATTTGGGATGTTCTGAGTTTTTGCTCTATCAACAGCGCTGTGGTGAACATGTTTGAAGCTAGATCTTTGCACCCCCTTCGCTCATTCCCACGGGCTTAGTTCCTGGAGGTACACAGCTGGGGTGAGGGGTGCTCACTCAGCTCAGGCTTTTTATGTACGTTGCCAACTTCCCCGTGGACGTCTTCACAGTTCATCTTCAGTGTGTGGATGCTACACTTCCCAGCACTTTCACCCAAATTGGGTATTTTGACTTAAAAATAAAAAAGCCTTTGTCAATGTGTCATACACTTGTGTCCTTGATCTCGGTCCCTCGATCTTCCCCTTGTTCTCAGAGAAAATACAGCACATGGCAAAGAGCTTGGTTTGAATCCCACTACATGACTTGCTATGTTTGTGACCTGGGATATACAACTTGACCCTCAGACTCTTCATTTCCTTCCCAATAAGTGGGGCCCACTGTGGCACCAAGGATGACAGAGTCACAAGAATGATAAAAGACAATGCACGCGAGGATTTGGCACAGGCCCGATGGAGACGGAACGTTTAAGGAATGGAAGCTTGTTACCTCTGTTTTCTTCAGAGTTGTCAAACGTGGCCTCTCCTCGTTCCCTCTGTTCCTGTATGTCTTGCGCAGGTGGCCCTGCTCTAAACAAACTGGTCCCACAGCCTCCCCTGAACCAGCCTCCCTTTCCCACCCGCCCTCCCCCACTCTCAGCATTTGCTACACACCATGAAGCTTGTGAGCCATGGAGTGGTCCCTTTTACAGGACTCTTTAGATGTATGGTGGAAACAATCATAGATGTTTCTCCTAATGGAGGTTCTAATATTTCTCAGATTTTGTGCTTTTAAAGATCTTACTTTAAAAACTTTTTGATAAAAACACATTTCAAATAACTACTTCTCTCTTCTAACTCCATCTCATGACACATTTTGAAAGTAGAATTTGAGAATTCAAACCAAAGAAGAGACTTTAAAGACAGACCTCAAGATACTTGAAGAAGAGACCCCTCTATCACCCGGAGGCCGTGGACATGGCCTCGTGATCTCTCCCTTTCCTGCCCTGCCAATGAGTGGTCTCTCAGAGGTGGTTCTTCCCTTCCTTTTCATTTGCAACAACCCTGAGTTAGTGCCTCATTTCCTCCTGTTTAGATGACCAAAATCCACCCGGCAGCCTCCTCCTCACTCTGCCTCTCTATTCCCATCTATTTGAGACGGAGTGCCTGGGCAGTGTCCCCAGGTCCAGCTCAGAATCTCATCCGTGATTTGAGACTCCATAATGATTTCCCTCTGTTTACAAATGAAGGATAAAGGCTTTAACATTCTCCTCTTAGCACCCTCACCTTCTTGGCTCCAACCAGCTTCCAACCTCAGCAGCAGCTGCCCTTTTCCTAAAAGCACCCAGAGCCCTGACTCACAATGATCCTTCTCCACCTGCTCAGATCCTACCCACTTCCAGAGCCCACATGAACGCCAGCTCCTGCTCCAAGGCTGCTGTGAGTTGCCGTGTGGCCCCTTATGGCCATTCTCCACAGTGCTGGGTTTTGTAGTTGCTGGGTCCAGGCCTTGCCTACTGGGCTTCAGGCTCCAGGGCGGGCAGGACCACATCACACACATCTTTGATTCCCAGGTGGCACCAGGCTGGGTGCTGGAAATCCACTGGATTTCCTTCTCCTCAAAACACACCTTAACAACAACAACAAATATGACTGGAAAATGTTATGGAATGTGCCCAGCACTGTGCTAAGGGCTGGAATGCAAAGAATTAAAAGCCCTAATCTTGAGGATGTGAACAACAAAATGACTCTCTCAAAGGGAAAACAGTATTACATACTGGACAACAGAGCACGCGGTAAACCCGGGTTACTCCAAGGCACCAAGCGGTAATTACGAAGTCTATCAGCTCAATCAAACACTTTAGTGTGTAGTGAACGTAAGATTAAAAAAAAAAAAGACACCATTTGATGGCAAAATCCAGAACACATAATTTTGAAATTAAAAAAACAAACCCCAGAAATCTCCAGGCAGGAATTAACCAACTGTACTCCATTTTTATGGAAAAAGCAAACAAGCCTGTGATCGTGATACGGCAGAAGTTTGCTTCCTGGATACGGCACAGAATCCGGGCACGTGGCTGAATCCTTCGTACCCGCACCTGTGGTGTTATGGCTGCTCACTGGGATGCCTGAGGCCTAAGCAGGCCTTAGGGTGCTGTCAGCAAGGCTTTCGTGTGAAGGGTATTGTGTTAAAACAAAATCTAAACAGAAATATTTCAACTCCTTAAAAGCCATTAAATCACGTAATAAATCTTGTATGCCCAGTGGCAGATGTGGGTTCACCGCCATGCGGCCTTCGTCAGACCACCCCATCTCCCGCTGTCCAGGGCCAGGCCCCCTGTTCCCGCACACACTTACTCTGGGTCTCGCAGTCCACACAGTGGGAATTCCCTCGGATGTTTCGTATCGACTGCAAGGCCATGGCCTCGCTCTGGCTCGTCAGCCGGGACTGGGCACATAGGAAGACATACAAATGCAAGATATAAGAACCCCGAGAGAAATGTACATCTCTATTACTAATAATGTCAGCGGAAAATCAAAAAGATAGTGAGCAAATATAGGATGAGGGCAATTTCAAATAATGACTCCTCTTTTGATGCCTTTAGGAAAAAGCATAACCGATGGAGAATGCATTATGCACCGTGAGGAAATATTCCATGGTAAGATTGATCAGATGAGACGACTCCACTGGAGATGAGGACAGGGTAAGTTCTGGATCATCTGTGAATGAACATGAGACCAACTGTCCCCTGGAGAATGCAACTGGTTAATGTACTTTTACTGTCGTGTGTCTACTTGTATGAAGATTAAAGAAAGAGAAATAACCTGCTTATAAGCCAAGAGTCAGGGCTTAACCAACATCATAACACATGTCTCACGACTCCTCATCAGGAGACCACGTCCACACCACACTCCACGCCTTGGAAATGCACTTTAAGACTATGTCAGATGCCATAGCAACAAAGACACTAACCGGTGTGGGGCAGGAAGGAGTGGGAGTGTAGCTGGGGGCATTTATTCTTCAGTTTATACTTAGTTATCTTCTCTAAGCAAGTTAAAAAAATACAGAAGGGGGAAAAGAACAACATAAAAATTTAAAACTATGATATGATCACCCATAGTTAAGTTTTATTCACATTTTTGTATCTGTTCTTTCAGGCTTTTTTAAAAGCACATCTATACATATACAGTCATGTGCGGCATAACAACGTTTCGGTCAACGAGGGACTGCATATACAACGGTGGTCCCACAAGATTAGTACCATGTAGCCTAGGTGTGTAGTAGGCTGTACCATCTAGGTGTGTGTAAGTACACTCTGTGATATTTGCACAATGACGAAATCACCTAATGATGCATTTCTCAGAATGTACCCTCATTGTTAAGCAATGCATGACTGTATACGTACCTTAAAAAAAGCTAGCATAATCTATATATATATTGTGTGTGTGTGTGTGTGTATACACATATATATAATGTATATACATATTGCTTTGGGAACTTCCTTTTCAGCCTAATGACATATTGTCATCTCTCGATACCATCACACATTCTCCAACATCATCATTTTAAATGGCTGCATAATATTCCACTTATGACAACTTATTTACGAAGTTTTCTTTGATGGACATTTAGATTGCTTCCAATTTTTCTCTATTCTATTATAAACGGTGATGTAAAGAATATGCTTATTGCTAAATCTTTGCACGTATTCACAATTATTTACTGACGATAACTTCCTGGAGGTAGAGGTGCTAGGTAAAAGGATATGTACCATTTTTAAGGCTTATGATGCATACATCTAATATAATGGTTAAAGCCAAACACATTTCAGAGGACACTCAGAATAAGCTTGATTTTTGTATAAGAATTCTTCATAAATTGAACCATCTCTTGTCAAATTGTTTAGTGTGCAACAACTTACTGCTTACTACCTAATAATAAGTTATAATTTATTAATTGCTACTGTCTAATTAGCATAATACATTATTGGGGTTTTATTCCCTTTGGTTAGATACTCAAGTATTCAAAGTATATTTAACAATTGATATTGGCATCTGGAGTGTGTGGAAGTGTGTGTGTGCACATACAGGGATGTGTCTGTCTGTCTACCTGTATCATTTCTGCAACACATGCAGGTATATATATGTCTACGCTTGCTACCAACTCTGAATTATCCACAGGCAGCTAAAATACCTTAGAGCTCCTTCTCAACTGAGTCTGCGTTTTCCCCTCAAGCTACTCCTGGTGGGTATTATTTCCGTGCTGTACACTTTCACACCTGTTCAGCAAGCGTCCGAGGTGTAGAGGTGTGAGCCCTCTTCCCAGGGAAAGTGCCCGCCTGAGAGCGCACATTTCCAGTGAGAGAAAAGGAGCGGCGTTTTAAGGCTGGTGTTTGCATCAGGCCCAGAGGTGATGCTGCCTGTTTCCATAAAGAGCTGGGGAGAGTCTGGCAAGGGTGTGAAAGGGAAAAGGTGCACGTTCTCCCAGGTCTTCTAGAATCCGGCTGGCGTGGCATGGATTCAGATTCTGGGATACTGTGATTTTATACAAAATTTGGAGATGCATTTGTCTGTTCAGCCACACATGCCCTCCCTACTCCTGTTCTGAAACTAAACTCCCATGCTTCGTGGGTGACACGTGTCATGGATCTCCATTGACAAGAAGACCCGGGAGCATCTCGTGTTGGCTTCAGAGCCACATCCGTGGCTGCATGACTCAGTCAAGCCAAGGTGCTCAGAAAGGAAAGGCTGGAATTCTCTCTACCTTGGGTATAAAACGTCTTAAAAAAGAGAAGCAAATTACATTATAATAATAATGACTGTGGTCTGGTTTACCCTGGTTAAAGAGAGTAATAAAATAAGACACTCCATGTTTCTGAGAAACAGACTCCCTTCCTAATGACAAAGAGGAACATAAATCACTGGCAGAAATTTCTTTAAATGCTTACAAATGAAATTGCAGGTCGGTGGGCAATGTCCTTTCTCTCATTTTCTAGCTGATCATAGTTTTAAAAATCAAAATGCTCCCCAAGACTCTAAAAGGTCCCAGAGAAGGGGTTAAAAACATCCAAGCATTAAAATAATGAATTTGAAGAAATCCCTAATGGGAAAAGGAAAATGGGAAAAACTACTTTTGCATAAGGAATATCACTGGGAAGTAATCTAGAAAGTGCAAGTCTTTTTTTTTTTCAGGCTAAACAAATGCAAAAGAATCACCTCTAACTGAATAAAGCACAAACCAGGCTTTATCAGCAGAGTTTAGAAAACGGACATTATATCTTCTCTAAACCCCCTGCACACTCATATATGGGCATCTACTTTTCATTTATGTCCGTAACAAGAGTCGGTTTTCTAATTTGACATGCATTTGAATTTTGGGCATTTATGATAACAGAACAGCACACCTTTTCTTGCATGCATTCTGCCTAAAATAAAAATAAATGTGGCCACATGAGCCACAAGAGTCTAAAAGATTCCACCATCTACAATAAAAGGTCAATGCTTTATATTTGGGATTAGTTGAGAGGGTGCAGATTTAAAATGGGATGTTCTGCCATATGCACATGGTTAAGCTAGGATACTAATCCATGATACATGATACATATCGACACAAAGTGTTTTTTATCTTTTCAATTATTTAGCTTTTTGCTCAGAAAGAATACCTGGGTCTTGTCAATCACACACATCATATGATGCTCTCCCCTCCCTTGGGCATCGCTCTAGGCCTCCATTTCCCTTTAACGATCAGTGGCTCTTGATTTCGGGGGGCAGCCTGTTAAGGGTCTTACCTTATTCTTGCTGCTCTCACATGACTGTAAGCTGGCTAGGATCTGGCTCTCGATGGCTTGGACCCACGCATCTCGCTCTTCATATGTGGTGGCTTCAAAGTGCCACGTCTGGCCAGTGAGGGACACAATGATAAACTCAAAGTTTTCTTCTTGTTCTGAAACACAGAGTGGAGGGGATGAAGAGTTTAGCTTTCATGAGACCGCAGCCCCTCTGCCAGTCCGCGGTCATGAAAGTGCCTTTGGGTTCAATCGCGCCTGCATGGGGCTGGCGGCACACACAGGACCGGCCGGCTACACAGCGGAGATCTGAATCCACAGACCTCCAAACGCTCGGGATTCGGTTCCTAAAGCCAGCGTGGTTTAGCTAGGTTTCAATCAACGCTCAGGGGATGAGGAAAATGAATACCAGCGTGTGATGTCAGCGTCTCTGTGTCGGGCACAGACGAAGCAACTGAAGAAAATGACATTGTAACTTACTGTTAACCATCAACATCTGTGGGATGAAAGTTAAGTTAATACCGTTGATCTCGGGGTGCAGTTTTAATTTCTGTATACGCGTCAGTGTGTAGATCCATAGATACACCACAGCAAAGCGGGACGCCTGAGGGTCTCTGTTCGTTTATGACAGAAGACCCATGAGAGTGGGGAAGGCTTTAATTCCATCGTCTTCAGACTGGGAGAGCGAGCAGGATTCCAGGCAATTCAAACGGACTTCGTGGCCGCCATGGGGTGACTGTCTGGCCTGGGAAGAGGGGGACTTCTGTTCAAATCCCGCTACACTACTTGCCACCTCGGGGTCTTTGGACAAGTTCTCGACCCCTCCACGGCTCACTTCCTCACCTTACAGTGGGGGAAAAGGCCACCTACTTCATACTGTTTTCCACTGGCTGAAGGACACGTAGTAACTCAGGCCAACACAGGGCCTGGGCCATGGCAGACACTCCGTAAATGTTGGCATTTGTCCTCTGTTCTCATCTACCCCCTGGTCCTGCCACAAACAAAAGGGAGAGGAGGTGCCCCATATAAATAGCAGAACCAGCTACAAATAACCACGAGGAAATCTTGAGCTGGATTTTTAGGTACAATGTCTCATTTGATTCATAGGTTCTAATCACTAGCCTGTGAACTGGCTACATTACAATCACCTGATCAGCAATTGTTATTAATGATAATAACCTACCGACCTACCCGGCTGACCACTGTGTCAGTTAACTATGATCTCAGTCATCCACACATGACCATTTGGCTCACACATCTATTGCACAAACCTCTGAATTTCCATGCTCACAGTCCCTGACATCTGCTGGGCTCCACGCTGCCTGGGTCGGTCCTGTTCCTTCTCTAGGTGGCTCTCCAAGGGCCCTGCCTCACCAGGAGCCCTTCGGACTCTGAGATAAGGATGGTCACTCAGCTTGTCTCCAAGGCAACTACAACCACGTCCAGCCATCCCCTCCTTCCCTTTAGTCTCAGGAGAGAAACAGCCCCCAACTATTGTGGCTGAGAGAGACCCCTCCTACCTGACCCCACTGATCCCAGGGGAATAGGGACAGGGCCCAGGAATGGGATGCTCGTGTCTTTCTTAATGCACAGCGAGGTCTGGGGAACTGCTTCTCTAAACCACCGACTGCCACAGAAACAGGGCCATGCCACTTCTGCACAAAATCTTTACCTATTCTGATAGTGACGGTACCGTGTTCTATGTAAAATCAGCATTGCTGCTCTTTTAGAATTTAACCTTCTAGTGAGTTGGCCCTAAATCTGTGGAACTAGCTCCGAAGAGCACCCGAAGGGAGGGAAGATGGGCCCGTCCGTTTGCAAAGCCGCCGGCTAAGGGCTTCTGCTATCAGCACGCCCAGCCTCATGGAGCGTAATGATGTTTCTGTGACAAGGGGGTCCATGGCTTCCACTAGCTTCTCAAAGGCCTGCGACTCTACCTGGAGCTGTTAAAGGCTCCTGCAACGAGGGTGCATTTGGGGGCTGCGGCAAGTGCTGGGGTGCAGGTGCCGAGTGCGTGTCAGGCCTGGCCGTCCTGTGCTGCAGCCACCCCCTGAAAGTGGCCAAGCTGGGTTTCACTTGGAGCAGACACGGAAAGCTCAGGGAAGGGGCTGAACAGGGATGCTCCATGAAGGAGAGAGGAGAGGAGCAGCTGGAATTCACCAGGAGACACAGGAGCCTCTGGAGGGAGTCTTCCACTCTGCTCGCTCGTGGGGTATGCAAGTCTCCATGCTCTCTGCGGCTCTTGGGTTCCTGAGTTCTGGAGAGCTGGTAATAAGAGTTCAGAGAGTGAAGGAATCATAAGAAATGTTATCCCCACCTATTGGGCTCTGAGTCAGAGAACAAATGACCCCCCTGTTTATGCAGAAGCAGAACACGCCACCTGCTGTGCAAAAGGGACATGGGGGAGGGAAGCTGGGGGTGGTGGTGTCTGCAGGCCCCTCGCCCCCACCCCAGTGACGCCCCTGGATACTTAGGGACTTGTTGGGATTTTTTCATTTAAAAAATTAGCTGTGACTTTCAAATAGGTTTCCCCATGGCTGACCTGCAATTATACCTTGTAATTATTGTCTGAGACAGTACATCTGTGGATTTTAAAAGGTCCAGCTTCCTGATCCACAGGCTTTTATGTCCTAATACTATGAATTACAACCTTTTCCACACTGATTCTTGTAAGATAGTGCCCTAAATTCACGTATTTTATGCAAAACTATCCTGGTAAACTGATAGGCAGGGCAAGAAAGAGCTACATAAGTCCCAGTCAGGCCATCAGGAAAACTTGGTAATTTCACAATGGAATTGTGGAATTATCAAATGGCATGTGACAACTGTTGATTGGGAGATCTACCCAACAGGCTCATCCTTTTTTAATCTGTGCAATTCAAATGCACATACAAAAGCTCCCTCTGATCAGGATTTACTGGATCTTTTAGTGAAAAAAATTACAACCATTAGCTTCCCAGTTAAATTTCTGCACAACTGCTCTGCCATAAAGCTTTCCTGTTCAAATTTCTGGCCACAATCATGAGCTACATTCACTGGAACCAAAGGGAAAGAAGCTAACTTGCTTTACACTGATGCCGGCTCAGCTGCTGGGGCCATCAGCCCCTCCCCAATGTGCGAGGCACCTTGCTGGGTGCAAGGGTTCCAGCTTGCAAGAGACAGTCTGTGCTCTCCAATGTCTCTACGTGACAGGGAAAGGCGCACATTTACAGTCTGATGGTTAAATATAGAGCGATGGAAACAACAATGGAGGTCTAAATACGGTGCCACAGAAACATCGATCTTTTTTATCTTATTCCAATTTCGTAGTTTTGGGCAGCTTCCACTGAAATATTCTCAATACCTCACGCAAAGACAAAACTTTCAAATTAAATTGCTCAAGTGCAGTTTGGCTTTGCCCTATTAATTATGTGAACACAATTTACCTACACATGCAAAATCTACTTAAGGGAACAAATACATTTAAGTGTTCGCAGGAACATCAGAGTTCATTTCTTGCAAATTTCCAAATGTACTCTCCCTACAGCATCTCTTCTATGGCTTCTCACTCACCTTAAAAATCAATTCCACTATCTACTATCTCCTTCTCTTGGACACAAGCTTCCTTTCCTAGCATCTTCTGTCTCAAAACACTTCTGTCTCGACTTTTAGTGCATGGTTCTTCTCTCCCCTCTCTCTGCTTCCTTTACCTGGTCCCCTTACCTTCTCGTGGACCTGGATTCAGCAATGATTTCCATACTCTATTCTAAACTCGATGACCCCTTCTTCTTGACCTCTGCTCAGGACACTCACCCCCCACCCCACACAGACACCTTCCTTGATCTCACTCCATCCTCTAGCGATCGCCTCTTCTCATCCTCCTTTCACTCCACCATTCTCAAAGCGGTCCTGTAACTCGAGCATCCTCCCCTTAACCACTTCCTTTTCTCTAACAAAGTTCCCCTTGTCTATCCTACTGAAATGTCACATTACACGATTACAGGTGAACTCACAGCTGGGGCCCACAGGTTCCTCACTGACCCCTCTCCTTCTGGCATATCTGGCATTGTTGACTGTGACCACCAACTTGTGACTTTCCCCCTTGGTCCTCTGAGCTGATCAATCACCTTGAATACTCACCTGGACGTGAGCAAGGCATTAATCAGGGTGGAAAAAAGGGATGAGAGCAGGGTTCCATGGATTAACAACTCACTGGAAGATTCCATCCAAAGAGTACTAATTTCTGTAACCTGGAAGGAGGTCTGTAGTGGCATACCACGGGACATGGACCTCAGTCTTGCTTGTCCAACATTTGTATCAGTGACTTGAATGAGCACATAAATTCTGCTTATCACACATTATGAAAGGGAGGAAGTTTGGGGGGACAGTGGATCCATGAGGGTTTTATCCTCAGATTTATAAAGAGAAGGACTTCAGAGCCGGGCTGATGACTTAAATTGTGAAATGCATCACATCCAACTAGGAATTCCTTCCCTTGGACTACAGAGGTAAGTGAGGTTTGGGGGAGATTTTGTTTACCAGCTTCAAACATGAAAAGGCTGAGGGACTGCAATCAATGGCAAGCCCAGAGTGAATTAATCCACGGCACGAGGCTGCCAGTAGGAGTGCAGCCATGAGTGTGTCATCCACATTAAGGGAGAGGTGGTTCTGCTCTGCTCCTGTTCCAGCCACTTCTGTGGTGTGCCATCACCCAGTGTGGACGCCGGGAGCACCACAAAGAGCAAAATGCCAGGGACCACCCACTGGACACTCATGAGTTTTGACAGAAGAGGGGTGACATCTGTTCTAAGGAGCCCTGAGGAGTCTCCAAGACAGAAAAACCAATGGAGACTCCACTGGCGGAGGATTCTCTCCCCATCAGAGCTATCCACAGATGGAGCAGCCATCTTTTGGATTCCATCCCCTTGAGGGCTTTAAGCTCTTGTGTGGCCTTTTCAGGGGAGACTGGAGGGAACTTAGCATCTCAAAGATGACCGATAGGGCCCTTTCAACTCTGAGATGCTATGGGAGGGATGCAAGATAGTTCTCAACTCCTCTGTAACTGGGAGAGTTTTGAGAGGCTGCCAGGAATCTCGTGTTGAGGATTCCAAGACTGGCTCCAGGCTCTCAGAGAATGCATGCTACAATCAATTAGCAATGTCCGCCCCAGGGCAAGGAG